TATTGTTCCATGATTCGGAACAGTTGGAGGGGAGAGGGGCCGAGGATCTGTCTTAAAAATGAACAAAACTAAGATGGAATGAAATTCCTAAGGGTAGGCATATGTGTCGGAAATATCACAGTCCCAATGGAAAGAGAGTGTGATAGGATGCAACGATTAATATATATCAAAGGTTATTGATTGACTTTAGAAAAAGGGAGTTTTTCGAGTTTAAGTTCATAAGTTGCAGCAAGGACTGAACATTTAAGTTTGCTCATTGGACCTTTGGAATTCTACGAGGCAACAACATGAAGACTTCGAACGAATGATTATTAGACATAGAAAGTTGGCTCATCATGTTCTTGGACAATCACATAGAAGGAAACCAGCGGGGATCACATTCCGGCACACCAGTCTACCGACAATTTAGATTTCCCTTTTCCCAGTGAAATTAATACAAAGAGAAAATCAGTCTACAAAGAAAATAGTTGGAAAAGCGTGGGTTATTTATGACAAACAAATCGTGTAAAATGAATCAGAGTTTGTAGTGTAGGGTTCCTTCTTTTCCTTCTCTCTCTCCATCTCTCTAGATTATTAAGTATTACAACACCGTGAATAAAAATAATAAAATAAAAAAATGCATCCATTGAAAGCCACCGCCAGCCGCTACTCAGATCGCAATCCTGGATTTGACGTGTATGTCTCTCTTATCTGATTTGACTAGCGATCTCAACGCATTAGACTAGAGAACTGCTATATTGTTTGAAACTGCAATATTGTTATTGAGGTTGGGTTCCAAAAATCGGAATCCATTCTCAAACTGGGAAGTATATTAGTAATGACTGATGATCGTGGAAGGGGGAAAAGTGTTGAGATACCACATGGCCATAGAAAATCTTTATGAAATGGGTTTTTATGGGCATAACGCTTAAAATTACCAGCTTTTTAAAGAATAGTTTCCTCTATTTAGTTCGAATACAAATACACACCATGAGTAATTTCCCCTTCAAACACCATGAGTAATTTCATAATCTTAGTCGTCATTTCCTCGGGAATGCAACTACAAGGAGTAGTTTGAGATGTAGAGACCTAGGGACAAGCATTTAACATCCCTCTTGAAACCCGGAAGGACTACCAGTAGCCACTACTTATGGTGAGGGGTTGGCTACGTGTTTCTAGCCAGATTGGCCAGCATGGTGGCCTTGAGGGACTCCTCCGACTGCACCCCAGCGGGGGCCCTCGCCACCACGTCTTGCACCATTGTCCCCCTCACGACCGACACGCTCGCATGGTGCACCTTCATGTCGAGCTCTCTCAGCGCCGCCATGAGCCTCGCCGCCGGGTGGCTAGCGTCCTCCGGAGAGGTCACCCTCACCATGGCGTCCCCCTCCACCAATCTCACCGCCACCTCCATCTCCCCGTCGCCGCCGCCAGAGGAGGAAGCTGCTGCTGCTGCGGCGCCGCCGCCAGCCATTGCTACCGCCGCCGGCGGCTTCGTGGGGAGCTTCTTGGACTGCTTGAGGTCTGCCTCAAGTTGGTCGACCTTCTCTCTCAGCTCCTTGATGTAGGTGACGGCGTCGGCCAGCAGGGAGGCCTTGTCCATTCTCGAGACGTTGGGGACGACCGAGCGGAGAGCGTAGAAGCGGTGGTTGAGCTTCTCCCGTCGCTGCCGTTCGGCCTCTACGTGGCTCGCTGGGGTCTCCCCAGTTGCACCAACTCTGCGCACCCTCTTCTTCGGCTTCCGGTCCTCCGAATCGGAGTTCTCAGCCTCCAGTGCCGCCATGGCCGCCTCCTTCTTCATCGGCTTGGCGGAGGCGGCGGGAGAGGCCACCATCACGTTGCCGCCATGGCCGCCGCCGAGGAGGGTCTTAACTTGGTGAAGGGCTCCCCAGTCTTCCCCCACCATCTCAGACGATGCGAGCTCGAGAACACCGTCGCCCACGGGGATGCAGACCATGGTGGAGACCCCGTGGAGCAGCGCCTCCCGGCAACGATCGCAGCCGTAGATTTGGAGCTCGTGGGGTCCGGAGAGCCACACATGGTTACCGGTGGAGAAGGCCCTGGCTAGGACGGCGTGGTCGGCGGCGCCGGCACCGAAAGAACGCGCCTGTGAGACCAGGTAGAACCACTCCACGTCGGTGACGACCTCCTCGCCGGCGCCGAGGAGGTTCACCTTCTTCTTGTCGTCGTTGAAGAGGAAGTGGTCACTGTTGTTGTTGTTGTTGTTGTTGTTGCTGCTGTTGCTGCTGCTGCTGGTCCTGCTCCCGTCGGCGGCGGCAACGCCGCTGCGGAGGTGGCCGTCGCCCCAGGAGAGGAAGGGGAGGCGGTCGGCGGTGTAGACGCGCCAGAAGATGGCGTAGGACCAACATTCCGGTAGGGTTTGGATGAGGAGCTGCAGGCGGTGCTTGAGGGGAAGCTGGGTGGGCTGCATGGGGAAGGTGGTGCCTATGGCGGGCGAGAACAGATGGGGATGGACAAATGTCTCGATGGAAGGAGTGGAAGAGTACATGAGGCCGTCCATGGCTGCCCACGAATAATTGTGTGTGTGTGTGTGTGAGAGAGAGAGAGATAGAGAGAGAGAGAGAGAGAGAGAGAGAGAGAGAGGTATCAGCAACAGCGACTGTGAATTATCAGAGTGTCTGGACAGTGGCCTGGAGAGTGAATGATGTGGGCTTGAAGAATGAGCTCCGTGTAGAAGGGTATAAATAGAGAGGCGGGGGATAAGGTGATAGGAGAGAGAAACAGTGAGTGGGATAGTTTTATGTTTCTAGTGCGAGATCGGGAAAGGAGCGGCATGATGCAAGGCGGGAGATCACCACGTGCTCCAAAATTGAGGTTTGTTGCGACTCGATAACACAAAAAAATTGTGTATGCCACCTGGACGTACACAAAAACGACGTTTACAGAGGAGTGAAGTATGGAAGAGGGAGGGGGGGAGAGAGAGAGAGAGAGAGAGAGAGAGAGAGAGCAAGAGGAAGCCTCGGAGCAGCACCGTGGAAACGCCGAATTGGGTTTGTCACGTATCATGGGAAGGCCGGGAAGGTAACTCCCTCGAGTAAAAGATGGAGGCTGGTAACGACTCGCCCCTTGTATTTTATTGCGGCCCCCGTCGAGTTTCATTCTAGCCTTCGAACTACTCGCCCGCCCATCCCCCCCACTCCCACCCTCCACGACAAACCCGGATCCCAGAGGCTTGGAAGGAGCGAGAACCTTCAGGGAAGATGGCTTGCTGGCCAGACGAACAGCACCCTCCTTCACCGTCGCAACAGCCCTTAGATTATCCTCTCTCTCTCTGCAAGGAGTCGCGGCGCACCGAGATTAGGATTCGTCACCCGACCAAGAGGTGGGCTTGCGTCTCCAGGCACTTAATGAGTTGGGGGATTAGTTTTGAGGTTTCGTAGGCCAGGCGGCGCGTGATCCGACCACACGGGAATATGTCCAGAAACGGAGACACGGAGAGGCCCACTGGCGCTTCTTCGTACGCCGGCACCATGGAGCGATCTTGCAGACTCGGGGAAGCAGACAAATGAAGCTTCCACGATGGTGGCAAATAAGGACGTTGGAGGACTCCTACTGGACAAAACATCCCTGGCGGACCATTAACTGACAGTCTTGGGGGGCTAGGAGAAGACGGACGATTAGCCGCCTGCCTTGGGTTCCTCGCCGCCATGGAGGGTACCGGCGGTTGGGCAATCCCGCCGACTTGACCGCATATCATCTCAATCCAGTGTCCTCTCTCCACGATTGCTGCAGTCGCGGCAATACTCTCTCTCTCTCTCTCCCCCTCCTCGGACCAGTCGAGTCTTTGAAGGGCCGGTAGCGCGCCATGTCCTGCGCCGGGAGCACAATGGGTCGGCGCGGCGCGGTAGGAATAAGGCTGCCGAGGCAGTGAGGGACTGCCGGCGAGCTATATTGCTGCCTTGAGCGTTTTGGATGGCCCGATAATGTGAAATAAAACTATTTACGATGTCAGATATTATAAAAAAAACAAAAAATCCGTAATTCGTTGTCAGACATTACAACTCGATTGTTCTTTTCCGGTACACACTCCCTCCTCATTTATAACCTCTGCCTTTAGTTTGTCGTCCAGCCAATTGAGGCAATGGCCACTGCCTTCATTAAATGCAGAAGACTATGTACGTGCAAATGTATGTATTTTGGACGTGAGTAAAGGCCTCAAGCTAATCCTTGAAACTAAACAGGCCCTCATGGACTCTCTCTCTCTCTACCTATCTCCCTCTCTCCATCTTGCTGATGAGTACATGTCGTGTGATGTGGCTTGAAAAGCTAGTTTAGGTCCTAGCAAGAGTGGTTTGTCTCAAGCAAGGCTAGACATGGCCCAGGCCTAGCCATTTCCTTTCCAATTAAAATGCATGGATGAGATTACATCATGCATCTATATGTAAATTATATAGGGAAGCAGTAAGAGGAGAGAGGAAGAGGGAGAGGGACAGAGAGAGAGAGCCTATAAATCACACAACCAATAGAAATCGTGTATTCTTACTAACAGGCCCACGAGAAGATACATCAGTTATAAAACTGTTTTATGGAAGAGAAATACCTGAATTTTCCCACATTAACAGATATACATGAAATAGAGAAAACATCTATGTAAGATCATTGTTTCAAGTGGTTTTGACTTTCATGACCAAAATACTATGGGACATAGAACCCATTATCACTTTTGACTAGTTCTTAATTTCATTTTTTCACTGGAGTAAGCACATTAGTATAACCCTACACTAAAATGGAACAATAGAGATTGGGGCGTATGAAATGTGGCTTACCCTATCATTTCTAAATGTTGTTCACATAGGTGGCAATGCATGCAGATACATATGCATGTGAACGATTGCTAGGTCATGTGTAAATAAAAACTTGATAAATATTATGAATTTGATAAAATATTCAAACATTACTAAGTTCAACGAATTATCATATGATCCATAACAATGAGGATTTTTGTAATAGGGTTGAAACCTCATAGCTCTTCCCTTGCCTGAAAATAAATGCTCAGAAAAAAGTCAACATTTGTCAATGTAACTAAAGGAATCTACATAAATAGGAAGTTCAATTGTCAGAAATGAGCATCAAAAGGAAAAAAATAGTTAAATGGGGAATTATAAGTATGGGCTAGGCTTGTATTTTTATTATTGTCTTAATTAATTAGAAAATAAAAGAGGCTCAAATTAATTGTGACCTAACAAGGAAATGGAGGGCTGGTCGCCATTCTCTCAAGTCATTTGATCAAGTTATCCGTTTTGGATCACAAGAGCAGAATGATTCTACGCTCTTAGGATTGTGTCACATATTTAATATTTTTCTATTTTTCTTATTTGCCATTAAATGTCCGACTTTACTAGTACTCTTTTTATTGGCGAACTGGAACGGTTTTGTACATTTAATGCACGTAATTTCTCAACAAGTATCACTACGGTGGTGATACAAGATGACGCTGATTACAGAATTAGCGGACAACTGCGTAATACGTATAGAATTCTCTTGGAATGGATGATATTCTCATCTTTATGGATTCGGGCAAAATTTTTAAAGAACATCCCCACAATACTGAAAGATAAAGCACTAAATGAGACGTTTACATGCTATCGTTGGGGAAATGAACTGAAAGAGCCCCAAACAGGCTTCTAATTTTGGATAATATTATAGGAAAATGTAGATTACATTTCACGTGATAATATAATAAATCCAAATAATTATATAGTCAAACATTTAATGTACGCCCTGTCGTATGCCTGAGTCCGGTTATTGCATGCATATACTGCTCTGTTGCGTCAGCAACGCTGCTCGGGTTCCTTCCCTGCTTGTGAGCTCGTTCCCGCCCATCGCAGACCGTCGACGCTGAGTCCGGTTACCAGGGGTTTGGAAGGAGCGAGAAGTTTCAAGGAAGATGACCCGACCAGACGACGAACGATAGCTCTCTCCCAGCTTAGCCTTGGAGTTGGAATAGTCGGAGATGGAGTCAGGTTTCAGCCCGACGTCTCCGTTGATCCCTCTCTCTCTCTCTCCCCTTCATTGGCGGCGGCGGAAGCTAGCAAGGAGTGTCCGGTAGAAGGGTCCCAGGGGATCGGGTGCATGAGTTCCGACCGCATAGCATTTAATGTGTTGAAGACTGCCCAGCGAGGTTCACAGTTCGCGTGCTTCTGGTGCAAGAGAAGATATCCGATGGATGCGGGGAAGAAGCCGAACGAACGAAGCTTCCACGATGGTAGCGAATAAGACGAGAGAAGAGCAGGTAATGGACGAAAACCCCCTGAGGACCTTTCCAGGGTTCTCTTGGGATCCTCGCCACCGTGGACGGTGCCGTGGAGGGGTAGTGACCCACATTCTGTACCATAGAGCATCTCAATATCATTAAAGAAGGCAAGATATGGCCAGGTGGCAGAGAATTCTGAAATAATACTATAGTATATTGCCACGCGTTCTGCGTTAACTTGCAAGTAGGATAGTGGGTATTTCTCTCTCTCATTTCTCCTTCACAGGAAAAATCTGTTCCCTTTCACTGCCTCTCTCTCTCTCTCTCTCTCTCTCTCTCTCTCTCTATCTATCTATCTATCTATCTGCGTTGGTCAGATCACATCCACATATGTACACACACAAGAAATGTAGAGCGTGTGTGCGTGTGTCGTAGAATGTTAGCGTCGCGCTAACACCTTACCTGAGGAAGATCTCTTGTTGTTCGCATCTGTCTACCATTGATCTTGTGCTAATCCCACTCCGATGAAGCAGATGCGTCCATTAAATGACATATTTTGCGTTAGAATAGACCAAGATTAGATCCGCGATTGAGAGTATCATGTCCTGCAGTGTCCGAATAGGGTCTGGGCTGGGCCATTCCAAGAACAACCCGGGCCGGGCTTCGGAACCACGGGGTTCTTTGCAGAGAAACTATCATCACTTAAGGTCAGCACTCTGCCCCGAGGTTGACTTACCTACCGGGACGTTGTTACCCAGAGCCTACGCTGCTTTCAAGAATCCAAGCCCATTATCCGCCCTAATCATTAGGCCGAGGGAAGTATCATCAAAAAGTCCTCCTTGTCTCAGACCATCAGCCATATGCTCGTTAAACAGTTTGGATTCCAAGTTTGCGTTGCCAAGTCTTCTTTATATATACAGGCGTATTTTAAATATGCGCATTCTTTTTAAGCTTTCGTTACAATTTATATATGTATTTATATGTATAGATATCTTTAGGCATGGATCAGCGGATTCGGCCTGCTTGCCCCTTCCGATTATGGGTGCTCTGCGACAATATCCTTATGATTACATATTCCCCATTTGGGTCGATTCGTTTGTTGTGAAGACAGCCTGTTTCAGCGTCAAATCCTCATCGCCGTCCGCTGACTCTCAACGTCGGATAGCCTACGTTCGTCATCGGATTCTGTCAGGGATCACCATCACCCTCACCCTCCATCAGCACTGCCAGACGCCACCTGGTGGCTGACATTCCATGGGAAGCCAGGGCGTCGGTCATGGGCTGCCATTGATGATGCAACACCCATG